TTTGATGCTGGATATGCTCGGTTGATTATGGTGTAAACAACATCGACTAGAGCTGTAGGTAAGCTTTCTGTTGCCACCTCTTCAAAAACTCCCTTGCTTTTCAAAGCCTCCACTTCCACCAACTTTCTAGCAACTTTTTTTCCATACTTGTAGCTAGATCTGTAGTTCTTGGAGCAGTAACCTCCGCAGCATAATTTCTCAATTTCTTGAGTGCTATGGCTTACAATAACTTGATTAATTTCAGTCTCAAGAGCCTCCACACTTAAAATCCAGTTATTTACCTGCTCTATCCGCTTTAATCGCGGCTGCCGCTCTGCAAGCTCAACCTCTCTCTGCACATCAGTCTTTAAAGACTTGAGTTCTTGTAAAGAAGTTGTGAGAGCTTGAAGGTTTTCTTGGAGCTTACGTACATACCGTACTCTTCCAAAAACGGAATCCCAACAGCGTGAAACAATGGCATCGCATGATAAGGAGATTGACAAGGCGCTACCCATTGCTTTGCTTGCTCTGCGCACAAGATTGTGAGAGAAATTCACCAAAGATTTCTTAATCTTTCTAACAATAATTCACTTACAGGAAGACTTTACAGGCTGTAAGTCAACTATGGTATTTTAGAAGGTAACGTGCAATATGTGGATTCCACTTGCACAACACTTTGATCATGATGTTCTTCATTATTTCCAAATGTATGGGCTCCACTCAAAGACTTTACAACAATTTTCAATTTGTCATCCATTTTAAGAGATATGTATGTGATTTTCAGGGCCGGCCCTGAGGCATGGGCACGGAGGGCGACAACCATGGCCCTCCAATTAAAGGGGCCCCAAAATGTTTTATACATGTATTTTACTTAGGGTTGTTTTTGCCATTTGCCCCCCGAAGTGGTCACGTGGGTTTGGTGGGTTAGCATGATTATTTTACTTCTTTGTTTTTGCCATTTGCTCTACCCAAAGCATTTTGCCCATCACATCTCCATGCCTCTGCCGTCCAAAACTTTTTTTCATGTTTCTCATTTGTCTTTGTTCTTCCCTCCTTTCTTTTTTTGTCACTGATTTTCTTCATCCTCTTCTTCCTCTCCTCTCCCCTCTCCGATTTGGTCTGTAGAGATTTTGACCCCAATATAGCTGGTAATCTTTTTGCCACAAATAATCTCCAATTGCAAGACCCCTAAGCTATAGCCATTAGATTTTTCGGAAAACATCCCGTCCATGGCATACTTCGGAGGCATATAGCCACTGCACAATCAATTGAGAACTGACGAAATTGCTTCTTTGTTTACTGTCTTGAGAAAAATTATACTAGAAAAGTTAAATCTAAATGTCATGCAAGGCAACTAATTTTTAGTTAATTATGAACACAAACAGAAGGGAATTAAGGGGGCGTTAGGCACGGAACTAGCGCCTAGAGGAGTAATCGGAGCCTATGCGAGTGCCTAGCTTTTATATTGTGTGGCTGCAGTGCAGGTGTAGCCTGTATAGAAAATATCTGTACATTAAATAGCAGCAGTTTATGGCGAGAGTAATTAAATACAACCAAAATACGTGGATTCCACTTCCACAACACTTTCATCACGATGTTTTTCATTATTTCCAAATGTGGGCTCCACTCAAAGACTTTACAACAATTTTGAGGGCTGGCGCTCCACTCAAAGACTTCGTTGTTTTACTTTTTTTGTTTTTGCCATTTGCTCTACCCAAAGCATTTTGCCCATCACATCTCCACGCGTCTGCTCTGCAGCCCAAATATTTTTTTTATTGTTTCCCATTTATATTTGTTCTTCCCTCCTCCCTTTTTCTCTCACTGATTTTCTTCCTCTCCACGTCTGGATGTAGTGCTAGATTCACTGCTTATTTTTATGAACGACACTTCGTTTGCTGTTCCTTTTTCTTTGCAAAATTTTATTGTCGTTTCCCAGATCGTCTTAGTGTCGTTTCATTTTGTTTCCTCTGCTTATTTAATTTAATTTCTGGTTTCTTCAATGGAAATTTTGATTATTCTTAAACTTGTTCTGGGTATTCGAGTTGGTGTGAGGGCTTTTTGGCACAAATATTATTGTAATTCTTTTTATTTTGATATATCTTGGACTCGTCGTCCTTGTTCTGCGACTGATTAAACATGTTCCTGAGAAAGCGTGATGAGATGAGCTTGTTTTCTCTCATTTTGTATTCTTCCGCTTTTGGGGTTGATTATTACTTTTTTCTAAAAGCTTTTCTTCTTTAAAATGTTTTTTTTTTTGGGTAAACTACAGTAAACCCCCCAAACCTATAGGGTCATTTACGAGTTCATATCCGATTTTGGGGACATTTATGGTTACATATACAACGTCACGAAAACTTACAGATTGCCCCCTTCGTTAGCAAATCCGTCAAGAAATATGTTATGTGCCTACGTGTCGTCTGGCCTTCTGTAATTCAGGAAATCTGTTAAGGGCATTTTCGGCATCTCACGTCCCTGGGTTTCGCGCCCAAAACAACACGTGGCATTATGTAATTAAAAAAAAGAAAAGAAAAAACCCCCGAATCGTTCCAAAAACTCATCGTCCATAACCCCCATCACCGAAATCGATTTCCCCCCCAACTCGAAACCGATTGCACAAATTGAAACTTAATCCCCATTTTGCATCAGTCGAAAGCGCAAAGAAGGCTGGGTTGCTGTAATTCGAGATGCCCTGGGGTATTCGTCCTCGTGGTTGTCTTGCTCCTCGTTACTGTAAGTTAAAGGCAGTTTTAAAATTTTCTTGCTTTTTGGTTTCCTCGCAAAGGTTTAAGATGCGTGTGGTTTGATTTTGTCTGAACTTTTCAGTTGCTTTGAAGTGTGCTTGATAGTGATATTTGTGGTCCATAGTTGATAGTAAACTTAGTTGTGTTGTTGGAAAGGCATAAAAAAAAAAGCACTTTATATTTTCAAACCAAACTGCTTTTGATTGGAGACAGTACTTAGTGGTCCAAAACCTCTGCATTTGTTTATGTCCTTGGTCACCAGTTAAATACAATTGTGTATTGATAGGTTTGACTGTTATGTGGCATTGTAGTTGATGATGATAAGTTTACTATTCGAATGAACCATGAGGGTTCTTTATGTGACAACCTGTATGTAAATGGGACTCTGGATTTCATTGATTTTTGTGATAAGGACCAAATGTCTATGTTTGAAATTGGTATGATGGTTAAGGAGTTAGGCTATGATGGTATAGTGTTATATCACTATGAGCTTCCCAACTCTGCTTCTGTAGAGAAGCTTATGTCTGATGAAGATGTTCTGAAAATGTGTGAATGTGTGCCAGGAGTAAGGGAGATAGATATATTTTTGACACAGTTGGCTGATGACCCTTATACCTTTTTAAACAAACACAAAGAGATGGAGCTGCAAAGGGTGGAAGGTTCTGGGGTCCAAAAATAGAGGTCAGTCGTGATTGAGGATATAGGATGTGCTGATTCTATTCCTCTTGTTCCTTATAAGACAAAGAGCAATGTTGAGCAGCCAACGAATGCAAAGGGTAAAACACTGAAGATAGTGGAGCAAGAACCAGTGGAGGATGTTGGGGATTTTTCAGAACCTGAGGCACCAAAGAATGCAAAGGGTAAAACAATGGATGAGGCATCAAAGAATGGAAAGGCTGCAAGGTCTTCGAAGGATAAGGAAGTGGCTGAACCTGAGCCACCAAAGAGTGTAAGGGCTACAATGTCTTCAAAGGGTAAAGAAGTGGCTGAACCTGAGGCACCAAAGAGGGCAAGGGCTACAAGGGCTACAAGATCTTCAAAGGGTAAATGTGTGACAATGGCAAGTGCAACAGATTGGGAAGATAGTGATGCATCCTTATCAGATGCATCTACTTTTGTTGACAGTGAGTATGGGGGGGGACATTGAGGGGAGGAACATTGAAGAGATAGCTGAGGAAACCATATTTTTGCAACAGTGGATTGCAGACCATTCCCCAGTTGAAGATACTTTTCAGCCTCTTGAAGATGAAAAGATAAATGAGGGTGGTGTTGTTAATGAGGATGAAGGTGGTGCTGTTAATAAAGGTGGTGTTGTTAATGAGGGTAAAGGTCCAAGTAGGGACCAACCTTTACATGCTGGTCCAAGTGGGGACCACCCTTCACAAGCTGGCCCAAGTGGGGACCACCCTTCACAGACTGGTCAAAATGAAGACCAACCTTCACAAACTGGTCAAAATAGGGAGCAGCCTTCTCGGACTACGAATTTTCACCACACAGATCTTGAAGACACCAGATTGGAAGAGGGGGATCAAGCAGTGGAGGATGAGTTAAGAAGTGTTCATTCAGATGAAAATGATGAACAAGTTGCAAGGGGGAAAAAATTCAAACACTACAACCATGAAACAGACAAGCAAAACCTTGTTTTTGATACTGGACTGATATTCAGTGACTGCAAGGTTTTCAGAGAAGCTGTTCGTGAATATTGCTTGTTGAGTGGGAAAGATGTCACTTTCACCAGGAATGAAAAGTATAAGCTGAAGGCAGTTTGTAAAGCAGTGAGCTGTCCATGGCAGATTTATGTGGCTTGGAAAAACCCTACAGATTGAAGCTTGGTGGTGAAATACTATAATCTCAATCACAATTGTGTCAGAGTATTTCAAAACACACAAGCCTCAAGTAAATGGTTGACAGAGAAGTTCCTGCCTAGGATTCAGTCAAATCCCACCATGCCTCCACAATCTATAGTGAATGCAGCATCTTCTGAGTTTAAAGTAGGTATATCTAGGATGAAAGCTTACAGGGCAAAGGCAGACACGCTTCAAATGATTGAAGGATCAGTTGCTGAGCAATATCCCATGCTCTGGGATTATTGCCATGAGCTGGAAGACAAAAACCCTAGCTTCACAACAAAGATGTAGTGTGAGTTTGTTGATGGTGAAGCTGTTTTCAAGCGTTTGTACATTTGTTTAGAACCATTAAAGAGAGGGTTTAAGATGAACTGTAGGCTTTTTATTGGGTTAGATGCCTGCCATCTAAACGGGGTTTATGGTGGACAGTTGCTTACAACAGTTGGGATTGATCGAAATAACGAGACTTGGGTGCTAGCATATGTTGTGGTTGAGATGGAAACAAGGGAGTCATGGACATGGACATGGTTCATTGATCTGTTGGCCAAGGATGTGGACATTGTTAATTCCTATGGATGGGCTTTTATATCTGACAAGCAAAAAGGATTGCCTGGTGCATTTGAAGACATTGTGCCTAATGCTGAGACAAGATTCTGTGTGAGGCACCTTTGGGATAACTTCAACAAAACGTATAAAGGTAAAGTATTGAGGGATCAATTATGGACATGTGCTAGAGCTACCAATGTGCCTTGTTTTAAATATCAAATGGAAGTAATGAAGACCTTAGATAGCAATGCATGGGAATGGCTTGCTGAGAAGCCACCAACACAATGGAGTAAGTCTCATTTCAAAACACATATTAAGTGTGATATGCTGCAGAATAACTTGTGTGAAAGCTTCAACAATAGTATCAAAATAACAAGGGACAAACCAATTATCACAATGCTAGAGATGATCAGGTGCTTGTTGATGAGAAGGATCCAATGGAGGAGGGACAAGATGAGCAGTTGGCCTCATCAAATATGCAAGAACATTTTTGACCATGTGCAACAAAAAAAGTTAGAAGCATGTAATTGTACTGTGCAGTGGTCTGGTGGTCCTAAATATCAAGTGGATGCAGGAAAAGGTGACCAATATGTGGTGAATTTGGATAATCATCACACTTGTTGCAGAAAGTGGGACTTGTCAGGCATTCCTTGTGCTTATGGAATTGCTGCCATACATTACAAAGGAGGTAAAGCTGTGGAGGATTATGTGCATTCATACTACAACAAGGACAGTTACTTGGCCTTCTATAACAATCTCATTATGCCAATTAATGGATCACAGCTATAGGAGAAGACCAACCAGACAGCAATAAAGCCACCAGCCTATACTAGACAATCTGGAAGACCTAGAAAGGTAAGGATAAAATGAGCTGAAGAGAGAATAGATAAGACTGGGAAAAAATGGTTGGGAAGACAAGGAATGCAAATGAGGTGTAGTATTTGTGGCTCAACTGGCCATAACAAAACCACTCACCATCAGAATCTACCTCAAAAGGAAAAACCCCTTTCAAGGGGTAAAGGAAGACCAAGAAAGATACCTAACCAAGACCCTGCAATTGCTGCTGTGAGTGCCTATTTTTATTGCTAGGTTGTATTGATGAAATGTTATGTTGTTTCTTCCTTAAAATGGAAAAGCAATTTCATTGTTTTATTGTTTGAAGCTGAGAGTGTATTTTATTTGTAGGATGAAGCAAAAGCAGGTGCAAGAGTTAGGAGAAAGAATGCATATGTAAGGGCAAAGGCTGCTGCTGCTGCAAAGAAGGCTGCACTAAATGCTTCCCAGCCAAATGCAAATAGTATTGAGAGCATCCAAGAGACAGAGAACATAGGCTCTTAGTTCTTACTTTATGCAAATTCCATTTTATTTTGAACTAGTACAACTTTTGGTTTTGTGATGTGGCCTGATAAGTTTACTTTCTGGTATTTTGAACTCCAAGTGGGGACCAACTTCTGGTTTTGGTAGCTGTTTTATTGTATTCCA